GCCTCATTAACATAACTGATGCTAATCCCACCTCATGTTAATATCCTAAGAAAAAATCAATTTCAAGTTGGACTCATAGTGACCCTGTAGGACAGAGTAGAACTGCTCTGTAGGATTTCCAAAGATCAGCTGGTGGATTCGAGCTGCTGATCTTTTGGTTAAGCAGCCAGAGCTCACTATAGCTCTTAACCACTGTGCCACCAGGGCTCTATTAACATCACAGAGGTAGGATTTACAACAAGTAGGAAAATCACATAAAATCACAAAATGGTGGACAATTACACAATACTGAGAGTCACAGCCTAGCCAAGTTGACACACATTTTTTGGGGACACAGTTCAATCCACAACACCATGCATATGAGGCAACTGAAAATATCATGGCTTGGGTCAGGGGCACCTTAGTCCTCAAGGTGACACCTTTGCTTTTCAACACTTTAAAAAGGTCTTCTGCAGCAGATTTGCCCAGTGCAATACGTCGTGTGATTTCTTGATTGCTGCTTCCATGGACATTGATTGTGGACCCAAGTAAAATGAAATCCTTGACAACTTCAATATTTTCTCCATTTATCGTGATGTTGCATATTGGTCCCGTTGTGAGGGGTAGACAAAATGGATAAATAAAATGTGGTACATACATACATACAATGGAATTTTATTCAGCCATAAAGAGAAATGAAATTCTGACATATGCTACGACATGGATGAACTCTGAAAACAAAGCTGAGTGAAATAAGTCAGGCAGAAAAGGACAAATATTATGTGATTCCGCTTACACGAAATATCTAGAATAGGCAAATGCACAGAAACCAAAGTTGATTAATGGTTACCAGGGGCTGGGGTAGGGGATAATGGGGAGTTATTGCTTACAGGGTACTGAGTTTCTGTTAAGGGTGAAAAAAAAACTTTTGGAAATGAATAGTGGTGATGGTTGCACAACATGGTGAATTTAATTAACATCACTGTAAACATGGTTGAAATGCTTGTTACATATATTTCACCCCCTAAAAAATGTTTTTAATTTAATGGTTAAAATGGCAATTTTTGGTTATATATATTTTACCACAATCATTTAATTCATATTCATATTCACTTTTCCTCAGTTATTACAATAATGTCTTTTTTAGCTATTTTCGCTGCCAGTCCAGGACCCAATTCCAAGATCAAACATTGCATTTACTGGTTGTGTATCTTCAGCCTCATTTAATCTGGAAGAGTCTATCTTTGTCTTTCTTGACCGTGACGTTTTTGAAGAGTTCAGGACCATAGTTTTGTAGCGTGTCCTTCAGTTTGGTTTGTCTGATGTTTCCTCATGGTTGATTTCAATTTATTTAGGTTATGCATTTTTGGCAAGAACATCACCACAGGAGTGACGTCATGTCCTTCTCAGTGCATTACATCAGAAGACCCATGTCAGTTTGTCCCAATACTGAGGTGTTGACTTTGATCATGTGGCTAAAATGGTGTTTGCCAGGTTTCTCCACTGTAAAGTTATTATTTTCCATTAGTGATTAATTAATGGAAACATACTTTGAGTATCTTTACTATTTATTCCTCATCAAATGTTCACTCACTAGTTAAATAACCATTGATGATTTCTAATTCCATTACTCCATCTATATTTATTAGTTGTGAGTTTAGTGTAAGAAAGAGCTTTCCTTTTCCTCCCACTTATTTATATCTGCATGAACTTTGGATCTGTATTTTATTCATTGAATTATAATCCAACACAATCATTACTTGTTTTAATGCTAAAGTGTCCCAGATGTAGTCAATGGGAGCCCCTTCAAACCAACTGATACGTCTTTTTTATATATACCCAATAATCTTTGAGCACTGCTTTACTTTCTGGTGCAACAAAATGTTCCAAGATCATTTTGTAATCCCCTAATCCCAGCCCTGGAATCAGTCTTTTGCTCCAAGAAGCCCTGGTTAATTTTTCAGTAGAGAATGGTGTTTAGTAACCAAGATCTGGGTGCTTGGTGTTCTCCTTGCTACTGGTGTGTCATTACTTCTAGACTCTCTCACTGGACAGAGCTAGGATATATATGTGTGTGTATGTGTTGTGTGTGTATGTGTATACATTTATTTCTATATATCTATACACATTAAAGGTTGGTGGTTTGAACCCACCCAGCGGCTCTGCAGGAGCCTATGAGGTAGTTCTACTCTGTCACATAGGGTCATTATAAGTTGAAAACTGCCTCAACAGCACCCAACAACATACACATTAAACATCATGACTTTGTACTGGTAAGCCATTTGAAGATTTTGAAGAGCATACAGACAGCATTTGACTTAAGTTTTAAAAGGATTATTCTGCCTGCTGTATTAAGAGTAAACTATAAGGGAACAAGGAACAAGAGTGAATGCAAGGGAATAGTTTAGGGGCTAGTGCAATAATCTAGGTGAGAGATGAAAGTGGCTTGGACCAGGGTTTAGTGGTGAAGATAATGATAAGTAGGCAAGATTTTGACAAATTTTAAATAGAAATTTCTGACCAGTTTGATATGGAGAAGAATCAGGGACGTTTCTAAGGTTTTTAGCCTGAACAACTGAAGGAATAGAATTTCCATTTACTGAGATGGAGCAACTAAAGGTGAAGCAGATTTTGGGGAGAACACCAGAAGTTTGGTTTGAACATTTCAAGTTTGTGATGTAGGCAATGGGTTGTATGTATCTGTTTATTCAGAGAAGAATTCTGGAGCTGGAGATGAAAAGTTGGGGTGTATTAATGTATTTGTTTGTGTTTAAAACCATGATACTGGAGATCACAGGAGTGAGCACAGATAGTGAAGAGATTGGAGAATTGAGTCTTGGGAACACTTTAACATTTAGAAATCCAAAGGATAAGGAACAGCAAAGGAGTCTGTGAATGAGCTACTAATGAAGTAGGAGGAATATTAGAAGGTTGTGGAATCCTAGAAGGCAAGTGAAGAGAATGTTTCTAAGAGGAGAGAGTAAGCATTGTGTCAACTGCCACTAAGTAGTGATCAGTGGATTCAGCAATGTGGTTGTTGTTTGGTAACTTTTAACAAGGGCAGATTTGACTGGGGGCAGGCGGGGACAGCCTGGTTAGAAAGAATTCAAAGGAGAACGGAAAGATGGCATTGGAGACAGGGAGTATAGATAACTTGTTTTGTGATAGAGGAAAGCAGTGAAATGGAGTGGTAGCTGGAGGGGGATGTGGGGTCAAGACAGATTTTGTTGTCTTGTTTGTAGGCAAGGGAAATAATCCAGTAGAGGGAAAAGTTGATGGGGTAGGGAAGAAAGCAATGTCTTTGAGTGGGCCGGAGGGGATGGGAGATCTAGTAAGTGTAGGGGTTGGTCTTAGTTAGGTGGAAGGGTTCATCCACACTAATGAGAGAAAGCAAGAGTATGTGGCTGGGAGACTCTTCAGAATGCTTTTTGTTTTTCTCCGTAAAACAGGAAGTACAGGAGGGTGAATGCATTAGCAAAATGTAATGATTGCCAAGTAGCGCTAAGATGCACCTGAGTTTGGTGGCGTTAAGAATTGAAATTGAAAAAAGAAAAGAAAAGAATTGAAATTTGTAGCAAAAAGGCTTGCAGGAGGACACAATCTTCACAGAAGGGATTGACAGGAGCCTGAGGCCCGCAAGAGGGCGCTTGCGGGTCGATCCCGGATAGGCTGAGAATATTTGGCTCTCTGAGCGGTTCAAAATAAAGACGGGATGTTCTCCAAGGGAGGAAACCACTAGAAAAAGAAACCGCTTCTTCCCGCGAAGGTAGTGATTCCCATTTCCAAAAGTACACACGCTGTGAGCAGGATTCGAACCTGCGCGGGGAGACCCCATTGGATTTCGAGTCCAACGCCTTAACCACTCGGCCATCACAGCCACGTGCGGCCTCAGCCCTGCGCAACTATAGCTGCCTATCAACGCGCCCGCCTCTCGCCGACCCCGCCCTCACTGTCTTAAGGTTTCCGTGCGCGTGCGCTTCGACTCGGAGGCGCTTATTGCGCCCTCTATTAGCTATGTGCGGCCCTGTCTGAACGTCAACCTTACTGCTCTCCCTGCCTTACACGAGCCACAGTACGGCCCCAACAAAATGAGCCCAAATCTGAATTCAGGCTCCCATACCGTTGAGGGCAGACGAAAGGATGCCCACCTCACTGTAGCTCATGAAAGCGAACTGGGAGTCTTGGCCTCCAAGAGGCACCCTTTTAGGAAAAGCTCACCAGAACGGAAGCCCAAAGAGGGACTGGTTTGGTAAGAAGAAGAATCTTTGCAACGGCGCGACGGAAAGGACCTTGGGAAGAAGGGTAAATGCGTTCTCTCCGTAGCAATAATATACTGCTTTTGCGAGGCTTAGGCACCGCTGGGATTCGAACCCAGGATCTCCTGTTTACTAGACAGGCGCTTTAACCAGCTAAGCCACGGCGCCGCCAGAAAAAGGTTGGCGTCTAGCGGTAGATCAGCTGTTAAAGGATGCAAGCAAATGGGAATGACCGAACAATGACTGTTCTTCCCCTTTGCCTTTCCAGAATTAACGCGTCCCACCCGCTCTGCCCCTCCCTTCTCCTACACTTTTGGGAACCAAAATGATCACGAATGGGTGCGCCAGCCCGCTCTCCTTGACACTTAGGCTGACCTGCTTAACAACCCTGTCTTGAGACGATGAAGCTAAACACTCTCTACTGCCTCAGAACACACCGGGCTAAGTGGGCTTCCCTCTCCCGCCAGTGACCCACGGTTGGAGCCTGCAGACGCCTTTGGCCACAAGCCGCTTCTCATCTCTCCTTGAAAGGATAAACCCGACTGCGGGAATGTTCCAGGTGAGAGCAGGGTTTGAGTTAGGTGTAGATCGAGCAGGCTCATCAAGGCCCTTCAGCTGGAAAGGGTGTGGGTAGAAGAGGGATGGGAATGGATGGAACTGCTCACCCTCATAACCTTCCAGGCAGCCGGTAAATACCTCTCTCTACAGCTCCACAGTTCCCCTCACCCAACCCCCAAACTTCATTCCACAGAGTCTTGGCCTTTTTTTTTTTTTTTTTGTATTAAAAAATAACAGACACAATATCAAAAACACAAATGCCATTGGTAGAGGGTACAGCTGAGAACACCTGGGTCCCATCTGAGGGGCAGCACCAGGGACTCCATGGTCCACCAACCTCCCCCACCCTGGAGCAGCTACAGGTCCGGACCCCTGGGTCCTGCTTGGGCCTTAGGCCCTCCTTCTCCCCCATCTTCCTTCCCTCTGGCTTACAGGGAGGAGGTGGGAAAAAGGGCTGTCTCCCCCAATAAATAAGTGCAGCCCCAACCCTCAGGGACCGGGACTTGGGCTCAGCTGGGATCTGGAGAGACCAATTCAGCAGCTTGTCAGCAACCTTGTCCAGAGGAGAGAAGAACTCACCAGGTGGAGGGAGGTGAGCTCCTCTGGGTGGGGCTGAGTTCCACCCAATCTCTGTTCCCTAAAAGGCCAGGAGGCAGCCCCTGGATCCTGGGCTGGTAACGGGGGTCCAGCCCCCTACAGTGGGAAAAGCTGGGGCAGTTTTCTATTGGTTTGTCCAGCCACATGAGTACTGAGAGTTGGGACACGGAGGAAGGTAGCCTCTCATGGACTCCCAGAAGTGGCCCCAAAATGGAGTCCAGCTGGGGCATTTACTGGGGCAGGTAAGGCTGAACTGGATGAGCTCCCACCTTGTTCCTCCTCCTCCATGGCCAAGTCCTGAAAGCCTGAGACTCCGGCCCCAGCTTGGGCCCCAGCCTCACCTCTACCCTCTCCCTCGCCTCCTCCGCCCTCACTGCCACCACCACCCTCGCCTCCACCCTCTTCCATGGGCTCTAGCCCCAGTACATCCAGCTCCGAGAAGAGTGGGTCATCAGGGTGGCCGGGGTCTTGGGTGCTGCTACCACAGTCCACACAAGCCTTGTGGAGGGAGAAAAAGGACAAGGGAGTCAGGCAGGGACCTCACTGCTGATCTGCCAGTCCCCAGCTTCATCTCCAGCCCAAAGATGTTCCTAAAATGTACTCCCAAGAAACACCAGTCCACACAGATGCTCCTCAGGCAGAGGATCCTGGGGTCCACAAGGTTGGAAAATGCTTAGTACCCTGTACCCAGACCCACTATGGGAATAATCACAATGAGCACAGAAAAGGCTCAGAGAAGTTCTGCGAAATCTCATGTGGTTTAACTCTACATTAAGCAGCAGCAACCTTAGTGGAATTAACATCCTTCAGAATTAATGATCCAAGGACACTGAGGGGTTCAGCCCTTAGCCTATATCCCTTCAACTGGAGTTCAATTCTTTCTTCTCCCTCCTGGCCCTGACTTTTCCTCTCACCATCACATCAAGGGCCCGAGGCAGCTGGCCCTTCCGGACCCAGGAGTGCACAGCACCCAGTTCCCTCCGCTGGTCCTCCGAGAACCGAGGCTGCTGCTTCTGCATGGCCCGGAGCCGCTCTCGGTCCTGCTTCAGCACAGAGGCCATGTCCCTGCCCAGGAAGAGGTGCAGAAGGCAGAAGCTGGGAGCTGGGGCCTAGACCCACGAGACTGGCATTCTTCCTCTACTGCAACCCCCCAACCACTACCTCACACGCCTCCCTGAACAAGGGCTCCAAGACAGGAAACCTGCCCTCAGCCTAGAAGGAACTAAGGATGGAGCTCTAATAGGCAGGGAGTAGGATGGGAATCCTAGGGTGAAGCCAACCTCAGAGAAAAAAACCCCAAGTTCAACTGGGGAGTAAAGGGTGGGCTGGCCTCCCCACTACCTCTGAAGGAGAGGCAGAAGGGGCCTCTGAAACTCCTCACCTGGAGGGCACCTGGTAGGTCATCATGACACGCTGGTCAGCATTGGCCATGAGCAGCCAGATGGGATCCTGGAGCACGTACTTAATGACCTGGTCCCCAGGCTCAGTCCTGGCCTGGGCTGTTCCTGCCTCAGCCTCAGAAGAGTCAATGCTGCCGAAGTACTTGCTTGTGTGGCTGCTCTGACTGCTGTCTGTGGGGTTGGGGGGCAGGTCATGGAGTCAGGAAGGATGGCACTCCCCACCCCTCCCTGGAGCCATAGAAGGCCTCCTCCTCAAAAGGTCCCATGTCCAGCCCACTGGCCTTAGGAAACAGGGCACAGGCCCAGGCTGCTCAGCCAAGATGGGGCCTGGCCTCCCAACTCCCCTATCACTGGCCTGCCCTGGGAGGAATGGGTTGGGGGGCACTCACGAGTGATGCTGGCTGAGGTGCTGCCCCCCTCATGGGAGCCCGAGCCAGACCCAGAGCCCAAGCCAGAGCCCAAGGAGCCCGAGGCGGCAGAGCCTGTGCCCGAGCGCGAGTCCTCTTGCAGCAGCAGCTCCAGCAGGTCACTGGAGCCTGACAGCACATCCTGATTGGAGGACTCTGTCACTTCCACCTAGGGAGGGGCAACAGGGAGGGATTAAGGGATCAATACCTAGGCTTCTCATCCACTGCTTCCACTGGGGATGGGGGCACCCAACCCAAGTGGTCCCTGTTCCCCAGTCCATGACAGGATAAAAGAGAAGAAAGCTGCAGAGATGTAGGAGCTTGACGCTGGACCCTTCCCAAGTGGCAGATGGGCTCTGAGAAGGTACTGAGATGTCCTCGCCACCTGTCAGATAAACAGGACTGTCCCTACTTCACAGATGAGGCAGCTGATTTCTGCCCAGAGTGACAGGGCCAGGGCCTCCCAGCCTGTGACACCATCTCTTGAAAATTAAGACAGCAACCATACAGAGGGCAAGGAAAAGGGAAGGTGGAGGAGGAACAAGAGGGGTGAGGGACTAGAGCAGACCCAGGGTGGGGGCTAGAAAGAGGGTGGAGGGGCGAGGGTCAGTGCTCACCAGTCTGGCCTCTGGCTCCGAAACCTCCTCATTGGGAAGGGAGGGCCCAGCACTGCTCCCAGGGGCCCCTGCAACAGCACCCCCCTCAGCACGAGGGGGCTCCTCAAGCTGCAGCAAATTTAGCTGGAGAGGGGAGCTGCATCTCGAGTTGAATAGTGGTGAGTCTGGGCAGTGGGGAGGGCTGGGGGGCAGTGGGGGCAGGGATGGAGAAGGGGAGTGGGAAGCCAAGGTGGGAGGCCCCTCAGCAGGGGCCTGGGGTATTCCATAAGGACAGCTAGAGGGAGTAGGGAACAGATAGTTAGGGAGCACCAAGGCCACCATTGGGGTCACCAAGGGGGCAGAGAAAGCTGCAGGGGGCACAGATGTGGGGGCAGGTGGCAGAGGCTGGGGTCCTCCTCTAGGGGAGAATACTGAGAGAGGGTAGGGCTGGACCACAGTTGAGAAGGGGGTAGTGGCTGGTGGTGGGGGCCAGGGGGCAGTGGGTGGTGCAGGTGAGGGGTGGGAGACATAGCAAGGGGCTTCAGGCCGGAGGGCCTGGTGGTGGCGTGAGCGCTTGGCTTTGGATCGACAGTGGTGTCGGCGGCCAGGGGGTACGGGGCCATGGTGGCAGCCTGTGAGGAGAGACTAGGGTTAGTGTGGACCTCAACCTGAGGGTTAGCACCCGTTGCCCCCACTGCCCTGACACTGACCAGGGAGAGGGCAAGTAAAAGCCCCACAGACAGTCTGGACTCCCAGCCCACATAGGCCAGAGAGGACTTGGGGGCAGTGGGGGGGAATCTTCAGGGAAGAAGCACAGGATGCAGGGACAAGGGAATTTATTGAGAAAGAGCAGAAAGGAAAGGTTACATGAGGGGCTGTGGGGTGCGCAGAAGACAGAGGCATGCTAGCTGATGGGAGGAGGCAGGGTGGGTCCGGTCCATCCACCAAAGTTGTGCTGGCACTGCCTGTCTGGGCACTACTTCCTGTTAAGGCCGTGCTCTGCCTAACTCATGATGGAGGGAAAAGGTGGGCAGAAGGCAGAAAGGCAGAAAACCCCAGTCCTGCAACTGCCTGCAGGAGGCCTGCCACCTGCCCTCAAAGCCCCTCCCCCACCTGGAGTTGTTCTGGTCCTTTTTGCCTGTCTTTGACCCACAGTCTATGCAGACCTCTTGATTAGCAACTGAGTCTTAAGTAAGCACAGTTCCTGCCCCTGTCTAGTTATGGCTAAAGCAGTTTACTGGGAGAGAGCACCTCCACCTGCCTCAGTGCAGGTCCCCCAGACTGCCCTCCTCTGGCTGCAGCCCAGAACCCCAGCCTAGTGGGGAGAGGCTAGCAAGGGGCCCGTCCCTGGTGCTAGAGGCAGCACCAGCCTGGGTCCCTGGTACAGAAATGCCTTCCTCAGGAGCCCCCCACCCCAACAATCTGGTCCTAGACCCAGCAGAGAGCAGGCTTAGGGAGGCCCTGCGTGGCTACCTCGCTCCCCAGGGGCCGATGGTGCTGTGGAAGAGCCGTCGAGTCCCCGCAGCCTGCCAAAGTCTCGGAAGCGGCTGAGAAAGGCCTGCTCCTCCTTCTGTGTGTGCAGGGACAGCACAGCCTTGGTCAGGCCCACAGGACGGTAGGCATCTGGGGCTGGGTCAGGAGCTACCGTAGGGCTGGGGGCTGGGCCCGGGGCCAGGCCAGGCAGGTCCTCCATCATGATGATGTCTGAGAGAAATGAGATAGAGAAAAGGTTATTAGAATCACCTCAGGAGTCAATATAGCCACACCATACCCTCCCTGTCCAACAGCCTAGCCAACCCCTGGCCCTGAGCCCTGCATCCACTTCATGGCCACCTCCTTGCCAAGGGCTGGCCCTGGGCCCTGTCCTCCATACAAAGCTGTCCCAAGAGAAGAGAGGATACTCAGTCCCCTCCAGTGGCTGCTACCCTGCCACGAAGCCCCCCTGAGATTGGGATGACACCTCCACTCCTCTCTTTGGAAGGGAAGCCCACCTCATACCCTTCTTTTACACATTTGTGAGGTCAATCCCAAAGACCCTTCAGGAGCATTCAACATTCCTTCAGAACCTCTGCAGTCAGCAGCTTGAACCCCCCCACCCCAGACTGCACGTTTAAACTGACAACAACACAGGAAGCAAGATGGGGGAAGGGCAAAGCAACACAAGACGCCAGGGGTGGAGGGCAAGAAGCAAAGCCCCAAGCTAAGAGGGAGGCCTCCTTCTCTCCGTGAAGGGCTGGAAGGAGGAGAAGGCAGGTGGAAAGGGTCCTGGCTGAGGGACCAAAGGAGCCCGGGCACTGCCTCCCTCACTCCATGCCCATACCCGACTCCGGGGGCTTCTTGTCTCCCACATGGACGATGGTGGAGCTGAAGCTACACTGACTGGTGACGGACACCACGCTCTCCGCCTTATTAGCCAGGGCCAGTGGGCTCAGGGTGCCTCCCACCACCGGCTCCTTCCGCGGGGCAGCCCCCTCCCCAGACAGCACTGCCGACACATCTGTGTGGAAAGATGGCGCCGGTTACGGCCCCCACCCCCAGAGGAAGGGCAGGAGAGGGGATCCCGGGGAGGAAGAGGGGCAGACAAGAGGGAGGAGGGTGGAGATCAGGAGGCTAGGGAGGGGGGCAGGGCAGAGCGAGGTGGGAACCCCAAAGGCAGAAGTGTAGAGACACAAGGTCACCAGGCCAAGGCGGGGTAGTGGGAACAGAGCACGCACTGGGTAGTTACCTTTCTTGACACTGGCAGGGACGGGATCTGTCCTCTGCTTATCGTCGTCAGAGGCAGAGGAGGTGGTGCAGGAGGAGGAAGAGGCACACTTGCGCTTGGTTGTGTTGGGGATGTTGCAACTCTCCAGGTACCTACAGATGTACCAGACTGGCATGAGAGCAGAACCTGGGGCGGGCCCTGGGGTGGGGCCCGGGGCAGGGTCTGGGGCAGCCTGAGGCAGGGCCTAGTGTGGGCTCAGGGGGCAGGGCCCAACTGGGAAAGGCGCAAGACTGGCCTTACCTGAGGACACTGTCCAAGCAGTTAATCTGCTGGTAGGAGCAGGTGGAGGCTTCTTTCCTCTCAGTCTCCTCAGGGGCCAAGGCTAGCGGGACATGGATGGGGGCAGGGGCCACCTCCAGCTCTGGATCTGGGGACTGGCAGGGAAGGGCCTTGGCCTGGAATGTGCCTGTAGCTGCAGCAAAGAGAGGAAAAATGAATAGACTAGGGTGAAGGTCTGGAGTTCCTTGGGTCTCACTCCTCACCCATGCCTACAGCCTCACCAACTCACCAGGGAGGCGGGGCCGGGGTGGAGGCCGGACCCGAGACTCAATAAAAAGCTGCTGCCCTTGGTGCTTCACCAGATGCACGTCCTTACAAATCTGCTGGAAGGTCACCTGTGGGACACAGCAGGGCAATGGGCAGCACTGGGGGGTCTGCCCAGCATCAGGGACCAAGGGCACAGTGCAAGAAGAAGGTACCAGCGAGGAGGCATGCGGCTGTGATGGGGGCAGGACATGAATAAAAAGGTAGGGAGGAGCAGAAAAGGCGGCACGAGGCAAAGCTCCTCGGGGGTTGGCAGTGCTGACTCAGAGAAGAATAAGGGAGGTGGAAGACTAGAGGGGTGAAGTACCAGAGGATCACTCACCGGGGCAGGAGGCCCAGGCCCCTCGGCATCACCCCCGTTGCTATCACTGGAGGAGCCAGGGCTGAGGAGAGGACCTGGGGAGGTCACAGGGCCGCCGCCACAGAGCCCCGTGGAGCTGGGGCTGTGCACAGGCTGAGACAGGAAGAGGAACAGGTTAGATGTCTACAGCCCTACTCCCCACCCTTTCCTCACCCCCAGGCACCCTCCCCTCAGCTCTTACCTGTAACAGCAGCCGGTGGATTTGCTCTGATAGCTCCTGGATATCAGGGTCCAGGGACAGAGCTGGGCTGGGGGCCGGGGGAGTGAACACGTCCTCATTCAGGGGTGCTCTGTGGGATAGGGAAGGGTGAGTTGACCACAGTCCCCCATCCTGCCCTCTCCTGCACTGCCCCACCCCCCCAGCACCAGGTCCTGCCCATGGCCCACTTACGTGCGGACTTTGTGGCGGCCCAACACAAAGGCCACCTTGCGGCTCCAGGGGTGCACGAAGCCGGCCCAGCTGGTGTCCATGGTGACATATTCTCCATTACGGGCGCAGAAGCGAATAGGGGAGTGGTCAAAGGGCTGGCCCGCCAGCTGGAGGACTGGTGGGAGTGGGAAATGAGGTGGGGGTCAGTGGGAGGGAGCTGGATGAGGTGGAAGCCACCCACTAGAGACCCAGGAGACCAAGGCACCGAGACATGACCACAAAAGCAGACACTGAGAAGCCCCAGGGATAGATGGGAAAGGAGAGCAGGCTGGGAGGAACTCACTCTTCTTGTGGATGGCCAGCATGAGGGGTCGGTCCTCAGGATGTAAGAACAGGAGCACAGGGGCCCCTAGGAGGTCCTGGGGCAGGTAACCCAGCAGTGGGGCAGCCCTGAAATGACAGGAGGTATCAGAGCGGCCATGGCCTCAGCCTGGGCCAACCCCCTTACCTCCAGGTCCTGACCTCACCTCTCATCCACATCCTGGAAGAGACAAGTAGGTGTGTGCCGAGTGGTGAAAATCCTTTTGTCAGGAGGGATCCGGGGAGCTGAAGCACAGAAGATGTGGCCATTAGGTTTCATCCAGAAAGGTCCAGCTGGCCATCCTCCCACAGCTTGCCCTGGGCCTACTGCTTACAAAGATGGTCTGGGCCATTCCTGTGCCTCATACCAGTAGTAAAACCAATAACCAAAACACTCTTCTTTGCCCTCTCCTAGCTCAGGGCTCTTACCCAACTCTACAACTAAGAGAGCTCAAACCCTCACCCACAGAATACCTTCTTCTGTCCCAAAATACTAAGGGATTACAACATTGCTTCCCAGACCTACCTTCTGCCTCACCCTAAAGAAGGTGCCCTCCCCCGACACACCCCCAAGCCAGGCCCTGGGCCAGCCCACCTTCATAACCCGAGTGGATGCGCTCTGCGATGAGCAAGCAACATGGCTGTGCAGGGACCCCATCTGAGACTCGGATCTTGGTCACATACGGAGTTAGACGGAATGGCTGGTACCTAGGCCCTGAATCGCGGTCAGGACCTCCACTAGCAAGGGAGAAAGAGGGATCAAGGACTTTCAAATGGACAGCCACCCAACCTTCTAAACTCAGAGACAAAGGAACAGGGTGGGGCGGGGGTGGTGGTGAGAGGAGGGAGGGACTTGCTTCCACTACCTTCCGCCTACCTGATACGGCAGAAGACAGACTTCTCTTGGGTGAAGTCCTTGAGGCCTGAACCTGGGACAGACCAAGAGGGTGGTGAGCACAGCCCCCTCTCCTCTCCCCAGGCTGAGAAGAACCCAGCAAGGGACTGTTCATCCCTCCCTCCAAGCCCCTGGGCATCTCACCTGCTGAGGCCCCAGTGCCCCAGGTGGGCAGGCGAGATGGGGCAGTGGAACCATAGAAGACGCCCACATCCTGGGGTGCCAGGAGCTCTGAGAAGCGGGCACCCCGGAACACATCCCGCTTGCAACGCAGCAGGGTACCTGCCTGCTCCGAGATATACACAATGCGGCCTGTCAGGAAGGAGACAGCCACCGAGAAGGTATCCTAGGCAGGAAGGTGAGAGCGAGATCAGGTTCAGGAATGGTGGGAATGGTGATGGGGGTGCGTCAGGATGGAGAGGCTGGGCCACTGCTGACCTGGTTGCGAAGCGTGTATTCAGACGTGATATGCTCCAGCTCCTCCAGAGTATAGGTGGACACGTCCATGGCACAGGGCTCGCCCTCCTCCAGGCTCCACTGCTGGTAGTATTCCTCGTTGGCTGGAGAGTGAGGGTGGGGGGACATGCAGTGAGAAGACTTACCCACCACACCAACCCAGCACCTCGCCACTGCCCTCACAGGAAGCACCACTCACCCTGCACCTGCTTGACGCAGGCCAGCGCGTACTGGAGTGTGGCCAGGGTCCCAGAGCGGCCCTTGCCCCGGCGCTCTGGTGGCAGCCGAAGCTTGAGCTCCCGCAGCGCCGTCATGAGCTCCTTCTGGGTCCTTGCCCGGGCTGACTGTTCGCTGCTGCAGGGCCCACAAGGAGGAAGGGGACAGGCATTAGCCCCAGAGCCTGGCCCAGAGCCCCAGCCCTCTCCCCCAGCCCTCACCCCACGAACCTGCAGCCACTGGTAGACGGGTTGTCCTGCTCCGAGCTGGCACTGAGGAGGCTGTAGGCAATGGAACTGCTCGGTGGGGATGGGCTCTGAGAGTTTGTGCTGGGGAAGGAAAAACAGGCCCAGATGAGGCGAAGAAGGCCGGCAGCACAGGACCTGTCTCCAAGCTCAGCCTGCTCACAAGACTACTCCCAGACCCTGCAACACACACCCACACACACCTCTTGCTGCTCTCAGTGGTCTCCAGCAGGGCTGAGTCCTTGCCATTGCCAGAAGAGGAGCTATGTGAGCTCCGCTGAGATGCACCCCTGGACTCTGGACCGTTGGATTCATTGCCACTCGAGCCATTGCTGTTGGCATCCGTGTCATCGGCCAGGCTGGGGCCTGGGCAAGGCCGGTGTTGTGGGGGTCCCAGGGATGGGGACCCTCCAGGACAAAAGGCATCCCCTGGCCTAGGGTCCCCTCCCCCATCAGCCCCTTCTAGGGGGCTGCTCATGTCTGGGCCATGGGCAGGACAAGAGGAGAAGAGGGAAGGCGGGGAGGCCACCACGGATGCACAAGGAGGCCAGGAGGCCTGGCTGAATAAGTGAGGTGGGAAGCTTAAGTCTCTGAGACTTGAAGAGTTCGATCACAGCCAGTACCTGGAGAAACCGGGAAGGAATGCCTGATGAAAACTAAGCTGCTAAGCTTATAGCACCTGCTCGCTTTACTCACACCCTCCTCTGCCTACCCTCCCAACTCCTGGGACCCTGGCCTGGGACTTGCCATAATGAGCCTGAGTAAGATCTATTTCCTGTCCCCATGGCGGGGAAGCAGATGGGAACGGGCCTCCCTTGGGCCCTCCTCCACATCTCCTGCCAGCGTGGCCTGGGTAAGCAGAGCCTAAGCAGTTGACTAGGTGGTCTACAATTACGCGCCAGAGACTAGACACTTCCCACCCGCGAGTTTCCATCAGGCCTTCACTCTGCTGGGACTCTTAAGGCTGCGGGGCAGGGGGTGAGCCGAACGCCTCCCACATGTAGGCCTCCAGGCTAATTTTATCCGGGGGCGGCGCCACCCCCTCTGCACATGCGCGCTAACAGCGCACGGGCTTCCGCCGCCACCGCGGTCGCCAGGGAAACCGACGTCAGCGGCTGAGCTCAGCGGTTGCTGGAGGGACCACAGGAGGGCGGGAGGGACGACCCCTCCCCCATTTCCCAGCGGAAGCGGGGGAACGACCCACTCCTACACTGGCTGGCAGTCGCTGCCGGGGGTCGCCCACCCCTAACTTATCCCCAGTCTCTGGGCGGCCTAGCGGCCATACGAAGCGGGGCAGGCAGCCCATCGGGGTTCCGGGGACTGTCCTTGGCTCCTCAGCGCGAAAACACAACCGCCACCGCTCTCCGCGCAAAACCCCCCAGCCTGGCTTTTGCCTGGGTCTCAGTCATTCTGTCCAAGACGACACAGCCTTTTTCTCTCCGGCCCCTGCCCCCACTCCTCTTTCCCCGGGACCGAAGCCGGCACCTGCCGCCGTCAAGTACCCAGGAATCCACCCTGAGTCCCTTAGCTTTGTGGTCACCACCTTCCCTCCGCCCTCCCCAGCCAAAGCCCACAGCAGAGGCCACACAACAGCAAGCGGACTGTTCTCCTCCAGCTCGCCGTCCAACCACACCCCCGCCCCATAGCGTTTTCTGAGCGCCAGGAGAAAAAGGAAGGCTGTGGCCAACAGCAGGAACTAGCGCCGGGAACGGGATGTTCCAGCCCGAACCGGGCTGACATCACGGCCGGCGCGAGGCCAGGGATTGGAGGTGGGACGGCAGGAGCGCCAAAAGCTTGAAGGGGTCCTGGTGCGGGGGCAAAACCGGACCCCGAGTGACGAGGAAGGAGGTAGAGGGTATGCCCGCAGAGGGAGTGGGGCCGGGAGGGTTGGGAGCGGGGGGAGGGGGAAAGGGAGAGCAAAGCTGCAGGGAAAGTAAGCCGGTCAGGAGTGTAGACACCGGGTGCACGGTGAGGAGGAACATCTCGGTCCCCGGGGGCAGAGAGGGGGTCAACAGCAATAAGGAGGGAGAATTTGTGTGTCCTGTGAGCTGGAGGGGCGACGGTGCAGCTCTGGGCCGGAGACGGACTCCAGGGTGGGCGCAGAGATGCCTACCTGGCCGCGCGAGAGCACTCCGGCCGCCTGCCCGCCGCTGTTCCAGCCCGCAGCGGAGTAGAAGCTCCGGGCGGCCGGGAGGCGGGTTGCATAATGCCAGGCACTGCCCTTCATTGGCCCCCAGCCGGCAGAGCCGCAGGCCCCGCCCACGATTGGCTGGGGATCCCGTCTCAGCGCCTGATTGGCTACTGGCCCCCACTGAGGTCAGGGCTGTGTCACACACATGGGCGCACGTGGATCTGGGTGCTGGCACCCGGCTGAAGGGCCCCAGACACCGCCCAACCAATGGGCGCAGGACGCCTTGCACAGGGAATAATGGAAGGGAAGTGAGACGAGGTAAGCTGTCCCTCTTCGAGGAAAATGCCTCACCCACAGTAGGTGCTTAAGAAAATGTCTCCTTCCTGAACTGACCAGCCTTGCAAAACAGGACACCTTGATCTCGCTAGGGGTGGGAAAGGGAATGCAGACCCTAGGAGGTGGACCATGCTGGATAAGATGGCTGGTCCCTGAGGGGTGAGGGAGAGAGAGACAGAAACGTGGCTTGGCCTTTCCTGGGTTCCCCTCCTCAGCTTTGCCATCATACTGAAGACGCTCTTTTACCCAACCCCTTCCTGTGACACTTCAAATCCTGCCCACAGCTGGGAGAAGGGCAATTGACGATCCACGTGTGATGCGTGGGGGCAAACAATGGAAGGGGAAGCTAGAGCCAATACAGGCTGTGAAGGGAAACAATGGCAAGAGCTCCGTGGCCAATCAGAAAAAAGGTCTCCAGGGCAGCCTACTGGTGACTACTGTTTCTCTCTTGAGGATGCAGCCACCCACAGTTAGGGGTGCCCCAAAAGAGGGGGCCAGAAAGCCAGGGCTACCGGGGGATGGGGGTGGCTAGGAGAAGAGGCTAACTGGGTTGTAGATACGGAAAGGTGGGGTGGCAGGGGCTTCAGATCCCCACCGCTGAAGGAGAAAGCCAAGATCCAGGGACCACTAAAGCAGAGGCCTCATCTGTGTCTTTCCCTGTAAACCCAGGACCCAGATCAGTACCTGGCACATAGTAGGTGATCATTTTGTCATTAACGAGAGACAAAGATGAGGGGAAAGAGCCTCAGCAATGGAGAAGGGACAGGATATTAAAATTTTTTACAAGATTGGGGAGCTGAACACTGAGTCCTAGAAAGAAAACAGGGGTTTGATTTGGATGAATAAAGCGCCAGGCTGGGCCCAGGAGAGCTGCATTACACAGCCCCTTCCATCTGATTCGCAAGACTCTGATGAGTAGTACCTCTCAGGGCTCCCTGGATGTGGGTGGCAAGTGAAGAGGCCCCCAAGCTGCTGCTGATATAATCAGCTGCGGCTGCACTCCCGCCACTGTCACATGGCCTAAGCTTCCCTTAACAATGGTGTTCCCATGGGGTGGGGCTCGGAGGACGGCTCAGTGGAAAACCTAGGATACAGAGGTGTTATAAAATAACCCAGAAAGACCAAAGCAGGAACACAAAGGCTTCAGGAGCCTGGATGCTCCGTCTCCTCTCCTTGAAAATGCTCCCCCCAGTTCACATACTTACTGCTCCCCCTCTACTGTGGCCCCGTCCCTTGTCTCATTTTCAGACACTTCTTCTCTAGAAACATCTTTTTCTTCCTCTCCAGTTCTCCTCAGTCTCTCCTGACCCAGGCAGACTTTGCTCTCCCAACTCCACCTCCGTATCTATCTTTTGCAAAGGCAAGAGGGTCTGGCGCTGCAGCAGCCCTCACCTGCTCCCAAGGCCTTGGCTTTCCTGCCTCACGGTCCCCACAGTAACCAGGCCCTGCTGGCGTCAGTGGAGGAGAGGGGGCGGGAGACAGTGGTGACGTCAAAGCGGAGGAAGGAGGCGGGGCGAGGCAGCCCGGGAATGTGGGGCAGGGAGGCTGGGGAGGCAGCGGTTTGGGAGGCGGCCAGCCCGAGGGCGGCGGCGAGCGTACACTTAGGAACATCGTGTTCTCTTGGCTGGTGGCCCGGGACATGCACCCAGACTGGGCGCCTTCCCCCTAGCCCAAAGACAGCCTTCCTGTCCCAAAGCCAGGGATTCCTGGAGAGACGATTAGGAGGAAGGGGTGCCCCCCCCCCACACGCTGGCTCTCTTCTCGGGACTCGCAGCCACCCTCCTTCGGCTTGTTCCTGCAGCTTCTGGCACTGGGTTCCCCCTTCTCCCAAACTGTACACATCTGATGGCCCAGTGCCAAAGAGTAAGGGCGGGGAAATTGGAGGCCTAGGTTCTGCCAGAGAACACGTACCTTTGCTCCCTCCCAGAGGCCCCCTTTGGAGCCTGAATCTCATGTTACCATGGCAGCGGGAAGGGGGAAGGGAGGAGGAGAGTGGGTATAGAACAAGGAAATCGAACTGGGACAGAGCAAGTGGCCCAGCTTGGTGCCTGGATCCTGGGAGAGGAAAGACGAATGAAGGAACTTGGGCTGCTGCCTGAGGACCAGAAGGATCAGGAAAAGTGAAATGGGGAGGGAGGCACCAAAAAGACTTGAGAATGTGAGAATAGTTCCCAGCCACAGCATTCACATAAATCTCTCACCCTGCCACTGTTGTTTTTTCAGAAAGGAGATTAGGGTCCTATAGCCATCTTTTTTAGCTACTTTTTTTATTTTTATTTTTTGGAAAACATGACCCGGGCATTGGGCTAAACACTTTACATAAATTATTTTATTTAATTCCCTTAACAACCCCAGGAGATGCGTATTATTATCCCCATTCCACTGCGGATGACTAAGGCTCAGAAGTTACTAAACCTGCCTCAACTATCTGCCTCATAAAATGTTCTCAGGCTCTTAACAAAAGGAGCCTGGAGCTCAAATCTGAGTTCTGATAATGGCTTGTCATTCTGGCTTCTTACCCTCCAGAAACCTGTGAGGTATTACCCAACCCCTAAGCTGCACCGCAGCACTGGGGAACCTAGGCCTCTCAAATACTAAGCCAATTCTAAGTTTGGTGTCTGGAACACAGACTCAATCCTCCTCCTCCTCGTCCTTGGGCCCCATCTCAGACATTCAGTTTGCACTCCCCACACCCTTCTAAACATCATATCCCCGGTTCTTATATGCTCACAAAAGTCCTAGAGATCATCCTAGCAGCCACCAGCCTAGGAAGCCCACTTCCTCACGCTCTCTTCTTACCCCAGGCCACTTTACCACCACAGGCCTGGTTGCTTGTACCAGCAGACACCAGACACACTGTTGGTGCCTCCCCACATCCAAGGGATCAGGATGACATGTGCACAAGCAATCTGCAAAAACCCCAGCACCATGCGCCACCTCAGGACCCCAGAGTTGCTCTCCTACCCCTACCCCCAAGGATGCCTCTCAGGCCCAATCCCTCCCTTTTACCCATGATAAAGCCACCCAGAGACGTGATATGCAGCTTTTGACACTGGCTTCCCCCTTGTCCCAAACTGTACACATCAGCTAGCCCAGTCACAAAAATCACCACACCACTCCTTCTCAAGTCACCAAGTCAACCCGTTGGTATCCTCCTTCCTGCCCTACCAGAACCGCCGCGTCTTTCAAGTGCGTAGGCACCTCCCCAAACGGCGGCCACGCAGTGGATCATCCCCCACCAGCTCTCATGGGCTCAGTCCCCGTACCTCCCTGGGACCAGGGACCTCAGACACCTCAAAAGCGCAGAAGGCGATCAAATGTGAGAGACGCCCACCCCGCGTCCCTCCAGAGCTGTCTGAGTTCGCGGCCCCTAGTCCCCACAACCATCAAAGTTTCCACCGCGGCGTTCACGCATTTGCAGATCCCCCCACTCCATTAAACCCGTTGTGACCGAAGACAGCCCCCTGGAAAAACTGATACCGAATGCCATCCTCATTCCCGGAACACTCACCGCTGGGCACTCACAGAGTTCAATTTCCTCCAAGTGGGACCACAGCGACTACGACCTGCTCCTCCAGCCCCGCCCACTGGCCGAGTTGCCGCACCCTCAAAGCTTATTGGCCTAAGGGCACCGACCCACGCCCCGCGCCGCGTGCAGCCTCCCGGCCCCCGCATAGCCTCCATTGGAACCGCTGGCCTCCGTCATCTTCTGATTGGTTCGCCTGCCAATAAGCAGTGACATATCCACGTGCGGGAAGAGCCGCCCAGCCGCGTTAATTGGAAGCCTGAGCGGAAGCCACGCCCCCATCCACTTCCGAATTCTCATTGGCTGCGGAAACATATTCCCATTCGTCTAGATTGGGACGCAAACGTCAGTCTAGCTCTCCAAACTTTCTCATAGGCTGAGAGGTGTCGGAGATGTAGGGGACACGTGTCGGCGGGCTCACGCGGCAACTTGTTTACCTAGAAGCTGGGGATTTTCCTTGACGACAATCCTGTCCTGGGCCTCGAAGTCTGCGCAGGCGCAGCGAGCGTGGCCTACACGCAGGCGCAGATGAGAGCGGCGATGGCGTAGGTGAGGGCGTCGAGAAAGGGGCGTTGTGCGGGCACAGGGTCGAGCCGTTCCAGGCGTGACAACAGCGCCTCCCGCGCTGGAGCCCCAACCCTAGGTCCCCTAGCCTCCAGAAGCTGGAAGATGCGAGCATTAGGGGTGAAGCGGTCTTCAGATCTCAGCACCGCATGATGAAGATGGCAGTGAAGATGATAGCTGCCTCCTGAATGAGCGCTTTCTGTGGGCCACGCCAGGCGCTTCTCACAAATCCCAAAAAGGCCAACTCGCTTACTACCCACCGCCTCACAAATGAGGAGCCTGAGATCCTGAGAGGTTTCATAATCTGCCCAAAGTAACACAGTTGTCAGTGGAGGGACCAAGATTTGAACCTAGTTCCCTGACGCCATAGAGAAGGCGAGTTCCTAGGACCTACGGGAGCCCTAAACCTAGAAGGGATTCGGTAGGTGAAGCGCGGAAAGCCCTGAGGTGTCTGGCACATAGTAAGCTCTCAATAAATGATGGACGTTATAATGACTGTATACCTAATTATAAAAATCACCTGGGTCCGTGTAGAACGGCTGAATCTAAATCTCCAGGGAAGGGTCCTGAAAACCTGTATTTTAAAAAGCACGCCTGGTATAGTTCTTAGAAGCTGGCACGTTTGGGAAACACTATCTACGTTTCCTATAATGCTAGTTCCTCAGCATCCTCGGAGAAGCCCGGCCCTCCAGAGCTCACCTAGCACCTTCCACCCACTGTTGAAGGCCTAGGGAGAGGGATGATGGGATGCCACACCGGATAGGGGCGTCACAGACCTAGAGACTAAGGGAGTTAGGTGTAGGGTCTAGAGTCACCAGTCAGACAACACGGTGCAGGACTAGTCGGCCCTTCACGGCCAGCTCCAGGCCACTCAGATGGGTCTCCCTAAGCTAATCAGTTCAACAAGTAGTTGTTAACCCCTCTGAGTGATGGCACTGTGCTAGACCCTAAGGAGAAGAGATGCTTCAAACAAGCTGGTCATACACTTGAGTGGCCACAGGAGTGACTGCAGAGCGCCTGGGAGTTAAAGCTAGGAGCAGAAGGGGATCCAGCAGCAGAAGCATGCCCCAGGTGATGGGGCAGTGGAAAGCTGGGAGGTGTTCACCAGGCTTAGGGACACAGTTGTCATGAACACTTTCCGCCTTACCAACTCCTGGTGCTCTCCACCCCCCGTGGCGATTTTGGGAATCACGCTTTACACTGCCCAAGGTCAGGCCTTTCTGCAAAGCCCAGTCCTTTCTTTTCAGTGTATCTTCTGAATCTTCTGGTTATACCTACAAATCCAAAACCCTTCCCACCAGTTAAGAAAAGATCTTATAACAGACACCACCTGGTTACTCATCACACATTTATTGTACATTTTCACAATCTGGATGCGCCATAGAATTGGGGGCACAGGGTAGGGGAAGGGGGGGCAGGGGACACTGGGATAATATGGGGGGTCTAGAACACAGTGCCCCCACCCCCAGCATCTCTCCCTACCCTTTCACACCACAGCTTAGATGTCCCTGCTCCCCTGCCACACACAAAACCTCAAGTGTGGAGGAACAAAAAGTTTGGGGGGGTCCCCTCCAGTGGCAGGTTAAGGGACTGTACCCTCAGACCCCTAAAATTGTGCCATTTAAAGACATTTGGCCCTTCATCTACCACTTCACCAAAGGAAGGGACAGCTTTCTCCCTGGGCTCTACCACTTGGAGAGGGCAGAGGATCCCCATCTTCCAGCAAGTCCCAAATACACATTGGCAGTGACTAGTACTCCCACCCTGAATTCAGGGGGGCAGTCAGAGGAGCTGGGCAGTAATGGGGGGCAATACTCCCCACAAGGAAAGGTTTTCAGTCCTACCCCCCAGTAGGGGTGGGACCAGAGGAGATTTCAGGCAGGAACTGGGGGGATTCTCTGCCCTGCCCCATGCCTCCCCAAGGCAGTGATAGCCCCCCAACACTGGTAGCCACCCCTCCCAAAAGAGATCAGATGTGGCCAACCCCCAACTCTCCTGGCGGGAGAAGGAGGTGAATCAGGCAGATGGGAGGGAGGGAGACCCCATGGGAATGTCAGTTGAGCTCCCCACATGAAAACTGGGGAGCAGGAATGTGGGGAGAGACCCCGAGTGGCAGAATTATTGGTCCGTCATAACACACTGAACTCCAAGACACTTACACACCAGCTGGGGGGAGGGGGAAGAGGGGGCAAGAGGTTTGGAAAATGGGAACAAGGGAGGCAAACTGGACTAGAGGGGCTAGGAGAGGGCGATTCTGGGGACCAGAACATCCTGATTCCCCAAAAGCCCAGGCTTCCCACCACCTGCAAGTAATGTCGTGCAAATGAAAATGTGATATAAGGACCAATGGGGACTCCTCAGTGAAAAAGAAACACGGGTGGAGGGATGGAACAAAAAAGAAGGAAACCAGCAGAGATGTCAGTATGCAAACGACACGCTAATCAACATGCTGGAAGCTCCCAGAAGACCTTGGGATTCTTAGGACCAAGTGGGGCCCTTTCTCAGAGCCTCCCAAATGGATGCAAAGGAGATGCACCTAGGGAGGTCTGGACCGTTGCTTTTTGTTTTGAGGGGAGGGCTGAGTGGGGTGGGGGTGAGTGGAAGGCCAGGGTAGGAGGAAGAATCAGCTAAATCCAAGGGAAGGCAAGGAAAGGAAGAGGGACTATTGCATAGCAGATGCAAATGAAGGGACTTGGGGCTGGTCAGGAAGAGAGGCGAAGGCAAGGAGAGAAAGAGAGGAGGTGATGGGAACCTCAGGAAGGAGTGTTAAGGACAACCGGAAAAATCTTCTAGTAATAAAACTACAAACAGACCAAATATATATAATATTATATATGTATAAATAACAGCTGGCTATTTACAAGGGGACACACACAGGGACACACACACGGATTCAGGGGAGGGGCTGGAAGATATGGCTGAAAGGTGGAGGAATGGCTGGGGGGAGGGGGAGAGGCCCCTCTCTGGGCAGGGCAGGCTCCTCAGGGGTTTAAGAGCTGAAGTAAACTGTGGAGAGAGGGAAAGAGATTGTGGAAGAGGGAGTTGGGGGAGGGAGAAAGAAAGAAAGCCGTGTGTCAGTCCTGGCCCTGCTCCAGTCCTCCCCACTCCCCAGCTGACTGATGTCCCTTCCCCTCTCTGGGCCTCAGGTTCTCCATCTGTAAAAGCAAGGAAGCTGGACAACCATCTTCTGAGGTCCCTTCAACTCCACAGTATGGCCCTGGGACCAGAGACCCCTAGTCCTCTAGGCCTCTGAGCCCACAAGCTCTCAAACAGTGGGGTGGTTGGCTTCTAATCTTGAGCTCCAGGGCCTTTCCTGCTCTCCCACTCCCCAATTCCAGGGTACCCAGCCCAAGGGGTCTTCAAGGAAGCAGTGGGGATCCACCAGCTTTCCTGTTTCCAAAATCTTAACAGAAATTGCCCAGAGCCAGGCAAAATGCAGGCTAAACAACATCAGGTTTGGGGATCTAGATGAATCAGAACTGCCACTGGCAGCTGTATGTTTTTTGCTGAATAGTGAAAACAAGGTTAATGACCTTCAACACCCAGAATCCATAGGGGAAACCTCTCCAGAGAAAGGGCCCTGGCCACCCCCTCCCCACTCACCGATGATGATGATGAGGATGATGGCGCAAATCACTCCCAAGATGATCATCATCTGGGGGTGAGAGGGGGGGGTCAGTGAGACAGACAATGATACCCCCATTCATCCACCAGTCCTCCTACCTGCCCTCCAGCCTGCCCCCACCCTTACCTTGAGGTTTTTCCACCAGTATTTGCGCTTGAGCTTAGCTGCACTTGTTTCAAACTGGGAGGCCCCCGCCTGGAGTGCATCTGCACGATCGTCCAGCTCGGACAGCTTCTGGTCTCGCTCCAGGACTTTGTCCACGTTCACCCTCATGATGTCCACCACCTGAGGGGCCCACGAGGCAGGGGGTGTGCCAAGGCCCACCTTAATGACGCACTCCTCGAACATGTACCCACTGTGCCACATATGGAACATGCACCCCGATGCTGCCAGGCTAACATGCCAAGGACACACACAGAACATGCCTAGCACACCTGGGGACATGCAAGGAGCACACAGCAGGGGCGTGCTGCTAGCCAGACACCTCAGATATCACAGCAGCACCCTCTATCGAGCCTCAGTAGCCAATCCATCACCAGAGCACACATGCTCCAGGCTGGTACGCCCCAGGCTGGCACGAGGTGATTAACATCCAAGAGCCCTTCCAGGTACATGCTGGCAAAGATGGGGCATGGTGTGTCTTTGTCCCCAAACACATAGATGTTAATTATCTGTCATCCTCTCCAACTCAAGATGGGCCCACACACCTGTTTGTCAACCCCAGGATCCTTCCCACTGGCTTTGACACCACCCCGCCTCCCCCCACTCACCTCGTCCACCTGGGCCTGGGTCTGCTGCAGTCTCCTGTTACTGGTGAGGTTTGGAGGGGGCGCAGGGGGGCCTCCCTCCCCAGCCGGGGCGGCAGGGGGGGCGGTGGCAGCGGTAGCAGACCTGAGGGGCAGGGATGGATTAAGACTCAGGGCCAGGACCCTGGCCTCGCAGCCAGGGCTCCGCCCAGCCGCCTGTCCATCCATCCGTTCCTCTCTTCCACCTTCCCGGCAGGGAGGCCACCCGATGGGAGCCCTGGACTCCGTCCGGCCCCGCCGCCGAGGAGCTGCGTGACCTTGAGCGAGGCCCCCTCCCCCCTCCGGGCCTCAGTTTCCCCGCCTGTCATATGAGAGCGACTTCACAGACGCGGTCCAGGGTCGACCCGAAATGACTGGCGGCCACGGTGACAGGGCAAGGCGGGGCAGGTGGACACCCGGGTCCGCTCCCTCCCGCGGCCATCCTCCGCACCGGCCAGCCCGGGACGCAGAGTTCCCAGGGCGCCGCGCGCAGTCACGGGCGCTGGCCTGGCTTCGGGTGCGGGCAGTGCGCGGGGCGCCGGCAGAGCCCCGGGCACTCCCTGCTGCCCGTCTCCAAGGGCTGCGGGCCGGCGCGGGGAAGCCCGGCGCGCGCGGCGGGCGGTCGACTCACATGGTGGAGGCAGCGGGCGGAGGACTTGGCAGCGGCAGTGGTGGCGATGGCGGCGGCGGCGACTAGCGCTGGCTCCCGACTAGTGCTTGCTGCCGCGGACAGGAAGATGGCGGCCGCACGTCACCCACATCCGGGCACTGCGGCGGGGGCGGGGCGCAGCAGGTGACTCGTCCGGAGCTGGGCCTCAGGGGCGGGGCGGAGCGCGGCGGGGCGCGGCGGGGCGGGGGTCTTGTCTGGTGGATGTGCGCCCTCGCGCCTGGGCACCCCTATACCTTCCACACCACCTGCGCGTCCCCGACCCTGACTGCTGTGACTTCCCCAAACCCACCTGCAACCGGCCCTATCCAACCACAGCCTACCCCAAGCTCTACCGCACACCACAGCCGGGCCCCACATTTCACGCTCAAACCGCATCCTTCCTCATCCGTGAAATCTATAAACCAGTCCCCACCCGACTCAGTCCAAGGTCTCACCCTGCGCCCAGGTCCCAAAGCCTGGAGACCCGCCCTTCTCAGCACTACGAATGAGCTGGGAGTGGGTGGGTGGGGGTGGTTGATCTGATGGGAGAGTGCGGGTCCCAGAGGCAATGCAGAGAGCCGGGAGTCTGTTGCTGAGTTTGAGTGTGGTAGGGGAGCTGGTCTCCACCCCATCACCCAGTAGGTGGACGTCCCAAGGCATGTCTGGGTAGGAGGGAGATGAAAAAGAGATGGTGCAGGCTCTTCCCCCTCAGCCAAGCCCGAGGAGGGGCTGCAGTGGAGGAGAGTTGCCCCTCCTCACAAGCGGGAATTCAGACCAGGGGTTCCTGGCAGGGGAAGACGGGGCAGGCCCGACTGAGGTAGGTCTGGCTGAGGACCTCAGGGAGGAGGGCAGGAGGCTGCCCTGTGGTGCGTTAAACCTAGTTCTGGCCCTAGGTGGGTCAGCTACCCCTGCCATGCAGGAAGAGGGCTCCACCCTTCACTGCAGGTACAAGGCCTGGGCCAAAAGGGCAGATTTTAGTTTGTTTTGTTTTTGTTTAAGGGAAAGGAGGACAGTGGGCACGGGCCAGCCTGAGGGGGATACCTGCAGTGCCCAGGTTACACAGTGCTACTTTCCAGGTGGATTAGCCTCATAAGGTGTTACCCTGAAGAATTCTTGTCCTTTCTCTGGACCCAAAATATATTTCGTATGTAGGCACTACATATATATTTGTTAAACGGCTTGATCTGTACAACGTGGTGGGAGGAGATAGTCCTTCCATCTCTGACTGGCCTCTGTTTCGGTCCTCTGAACAGGCCCAGCAGCTGCACACACTCCCACCCCGCCCATCCTCAGCAGGCCTGGCACAGTGGGTATTGCAGGTTCTGGAGGGCGACGAAGATGGGACTGCCTATCCTGCCCCAAGGGTGAGGGATACATTTTAGGGGAAGTTAGTGGCCCTGGGGTGGGGGTGTTCATTGCATCCTGGGCAGCTGGGGGGTTGGGGGAGAGAAGCCCGGTGGCCTGGTTTCTGAGACAAATAGAAGCCGGCTCCTTTCCTCCCCAGCCCAGGCTTCCCAGGGCCTCTGGGTGTTAGAATTTCGCCCACTGCAGCAACTCCCTTCCCAGCAGAAGCCTGGGGACCTGCTCTGTCACCAGAGGTGTCATTTCACAGCTGTCTGGGGGAGGTGAGTAAGCAGGGATTGTGCAGGGTGTGAGTACTCAGCCGGATCTAAGATAAGATGCAGTGGCTGCCTCCCCCCTCAGCAGAGCAGCCACCTCCCTGGCCCTTGTGCACTGACACAGGATGTCTGAGGTGGCTCAGCTTATGTGGAAAAGAAGAAAAGAGCAGCTTCAGCGGGGGTCTCAGACTGCATACTAGCTGCTTGCTTTTTGGCCCTGCAGCCATTCTCCCTTCTAGCCAAGGAACAAATATGTCAAATTCCAGGCTTTAAGTTAAAAAGGCTCAGTGTCAGAGTATAAGACAGGGATGATTGGAAGGTGGTGCAAACAGACAGACTCCCCACCCTGCCCCAACCCCCTGCTCTAGCTGGAGAGACCAAGCTTGCAAGCAAGCAAGACATTAGACACTGGTTTAGGGGTGACTCCCATTTTCCCAGGCCAAGTCCAAGGGATGTGGAAGCAAAAGAACCCCAGATAAATTTGGGGAGCCAAGCCATGGGGTGTGGTGTAGAAAGCTGTTGTTCGCTCCACCCCAGGATCCTGCGACAGAGTAGAAATGGGGGCACATATGATCCACAGAGGTGGGGACCCAGGAGGATTTACCTCAGAGAGAGGACTCTCAGTGAGAAGACCCTCCTGGCAGCCCACCTAGGGAATTCCATGAGTTTAGATCAATGGTGGAGGCAGAAGGGGTGGGGTGGGGTGACTGAGTTTACCCGGAAGTGAATAAGAGAAAATTTTCTGCAAGCAGAATAGAGACCCTAAAGAGAGGTAGTAAGTTGTACTCTAGAAAAGTGAATATATTTGCATAACTGAGATCCTGGTTTCTACACTTACCAGCTTCAGGGTTGGCCCCACACCCCCACCACAGGCTCATTCAAAGGCTCATTCAAAGGATGTGGGAGGGGCCCAAGGTTGCATTTCTAACAAGTACCTCCAGTGATTCTGATGTAGGCCACTGGAAACCACACTCTAAAAAGGTTTTCTTTCATTATCTTTTCCTTCTTCTAACAAAAACTAGCTTAGACTTAGACGTTGGGATGGAAGGGGGCTGGCTCATTCCCACATTGACTCATGAACTTGCCCCATCCACATGAGTCAAGCCTGACTGAACTAGTAACTAATTTGAGGGACCTTCTGTGTCAACCAGCTTGCAAAGAAAAGGCCTTCTAATTAGGAGCAGAAGAAGCCAGCCGTTAGGAATGCTGGCCTGGGGGCCTAGCCCCACCACCATCACAAGCAGCTGTTCAAACCCAGCTTTCTAGGGCCGAAGGCTCCCGGGGCTGCTTGCCAAGCCCTGGGTTCCTGGAGGGAAGAGAAACTACCCAATGAGGACCTCCTGGGTGCCAGACACTTCATATGGATTGCCACATGCAGTAAAGTAGTTTTTAATTACGTGCACAGATGATGTGACTGCATTCTCCATGTGAAATATTAAAACATTAAACGTAAAGCTAAAGTCCCCTTGGCCGCCCCTCAATCCATTTGTCCCGACTCATGGTGACCCCATGTGTTCCACAGTAGAACTGCTCCGTAGGGTTTTCTTGGCTGTAATCTTTACAGAAGCAGATGGTCAGGATTTTTCTTCTGTGGAGCAACCGCTTGTACCACCCACCCACCCCACTGCCGTCAAGTCGATTCCAACTCAGAGCCCCCAGGCTGCTTATATTATTAACATGCTGTTGTTAGTTGCTGTTGAGTCAATTCCGGCTCGTGACGACCCCAGGTGTGCAGAGTAGAACTGTTTCACAGGTTTTCAAGGCTGTGACCTTTCGAAAGCAGATCACCAGGTGTGTCTTCCAAGGCACCTCTGAATTCAAACCACCAATCTCTTGGCTGGTAGCAGAGCATTAACCATTTGCGCCTCTCAGGGACCATATATTATTATCTCATATATATATACATATATATTTTTTTTCATTTCCAAAATGCAATCGCTTCTCTCTCCGAGGATAACAATTATATTTTTAAAATTCAATATTAGATATTAAGATTGGTAATACAATCGTGTTGAAAAATTCAAAAGGTACACAGAATGTACTGTAAAGCCTTGTTCGGAGCTACCCAGCAGCCCGGCCCAGACACAGCCACTCTCCAGGCCTGTGAGTCCCCAGGGAGAGCTGATGCAGAGACAAGCATATGCAGAGCTGCTTCTTTTTCCTTTTTTTTTTTTTTTTTAAACACAAATGCTAACAGACGATACACATTGATTTGCACCTTCCTTTTTTTTTTTTTAACTTAACATTTATGACTGTTTTTTTCTTGTGTTCCCTAGTTAGTATCTCTGTCTCTTCCAGATTCCTTTGATTTGCTTTTTTTTTTTTTAAATATATGGGAAAGATGTCTCTCTTTCATTTGAGAGACTTTCCTCAAATGTCTACTGATCCTTGTCAGAGTTAAAAGGGAGCCACCAGGAGGAGGGTCGGAAGCTCTGGTGGGGGTACTTATTAACTATTATTGGCATATATAGGACAGTCGAAGCCCCTTCATGGGGGACCCCCAAATGTCAGTATGTGGCAGGCTTTCTCTGGGGCCATGCAGTTTCACAAGAGAAGAATATCCTCCATTGTCCATCACCTCCCCTCGCTGAGGCAGGTGCGGGGTGTGGAGCGGGGTGTGGAGCAGGGTGGGTACTCCTGTTTCCAGCCCAGAGCCTCACCTTATACTCTGCTAGGCCTGATGTCCTTAAGTCCAAAGCCTCCCTCCCAAAATGAGCCCAAAGAAGGGTGGCGTGTATAATAGGGGTCTTTCCCTTCCTATGAGAGAGCCCCAGGGCTCTTAACACCTTGCACACAGACTCCCAGCCATCCTATGGTATGGTGAATTGCTTTCATGCTAGCCTTGGTCTTGTAAATCCCACCCAAATGATTGGGTGGGACTGTGCAAATAAGGCAATTGTGGCCCACCAAGGGAGTTGGTCAGTTTTGCTTTAAAAAAGAGTCAATTCCTGAGCAGAGAGAGGATCCCACCACCACCAAGGAAGAAGAATAGCCAGGAGCAGAGAGGGAGTCCTTTGGACCCAGGATCCCTGCACTGAGAAGCTCCTGGAACCAGGATACAGAGAGAGAGAGAGCTCAAGAAGCGGTGGCAGAGAAATGACGGCAGGAGACAGTGTGGTGGGCTTCCAGGCCCACAGCGCAAGAAAACTGAGTGCCTTCGGGCAGGAGGCTTGCTGGTGTAGAGTGCCTCTGGGCACTTACTGGCAGAGCTAAAAGAGCTTTATAACACCCGTCCAAGCAGGGCAGAGGCTGAGGGCCAGAGAGGTGTGCCTGAGAGCACCGCTGGGAAGAGGCTATACTGATGGAAAACCTGTATCCTGAGTGCTCGTGAGCCTAAATTGTAACCTATTACTTCCCTAATTAACCCCATAATCGTGAGTATTGTCTGTGAGTTCTGTGCGGCCATCGCAATTAATTATTGAACCCAGCAGAGAGGTCCGTGGGAGGGACGGTTGGTGTCAGAATTGGCTA